CTTATTAGTCATTTAATGTTAAATAACAATCGCTAACTATTGCAAAGCCAAACAGTTATATTTATCGAATTTGCTACTTATCATCTACTACCCATTTTTCGTTATCCGTCTTCCGCTATCCGCTAATCGCCACCCGTTACCTGCTACCGCTATCCGTTACATACTATCCGCTGTCCGCTGAATTTTAACCGCTGTACCAATCAGGCCTTAGTGTATTTCTTTACTTTTTTTTAATTGGCATGTCTAGAATTTAAATTTAAAATTTTTTTTATAAAAGTTATTATTAAATAAACTAATTATTAGTAAGTACATAATTTATTATTCTTTCATTTTAATTTAATTGTCTTATTTTGATTTTTACATAAAATTTGACCAAATAATTTTATTTAATAAATAAATCGCATATAATTTAATTATATAATTTTATATAATAAATAAATAATAATTAATTTTTTATACATAATTTTTATAAATTTTTCTATATAAATAAAAAATTAATTATTATTCATTTATTATATAAAATTATTAAATTAATTTACATAGAATTAAAACATTAAAACAACTAAAAAGGCTGAGTAATAAAATATTAAAGCTTAGTTACATGATTCTCTCTCTCAAAAAATTTCTTTATATACATTAGAAGGCCCTTTCATAGCTTATAGTTGTGGCCAAACAGGAATATATTATTGTTACGCATTGATTGGATTGATTTTATTAATTTAGGGATTTTTTTTTATATGGATAACTGTGATATTTAAAAATATTAGTTTAAAGTAAATTTTAATTTGTTAAGGACCTTTTTTAGTCTTTTTTAGTTATTTCAAACGCTCAACTTTATATAAATTAACCTGTTGATTTTATAAAATGAATGTATGACAATTGAAAAAATTGTTTTGATTTAACTAAAAATACCAAGCAAGAAGTAGGTATAAAATTTTTTTTAATTGATATCTATTTATTATATAAAATTATTTGGCTAAGCTCATTTAAAAGTCAAATTAAGATAACTAAATTTAATAAAAAAGAGTATTAGATAACAATTATTCTATCAAATAAAATTATTAATTATTTTTAACAATCAAACAGAATAAAGTCAGTTTTTTGTGCAGCAATAACATATTTTTATGTGATAGTGCCCGCCTTCCCTCCATACCCTTTCACAAATTTTTATTTATTTTATGAGAATAATGTAAAATAGGTTGTTCTCTTAAAATTTTTTTAAGAGGATGTCTAAAAATTCACCTATTAATCAATATTCTCAAAAGGAAACTGTTGAATTAAAAATTTTATTTATGTAGATTATACATATCAATTTTTATATTTATCTAACACTTATAACCTTTTGATCAAAACAACTCTATTTACTAATATATATTTAATGGTGTTATATTTCTTATAGTTAATGAAGTAGTTAGGCCTACTAAATCAACAAGAAAATTTACATGCATAATTTATATAAATAGAATTTTCAATCCAATAATTAGTTTTTAAAAGTATGAATCAAAAAATAAGTTTTTAGACATGTCCTTCAAAAAAAATTAAGAGAATGACTTATAAAATACTTTTTCCTTATTCTATTATCTTCCTTGTAGTTTTTTAGAGAATGACTTACAAAACACTTTTTCCTTACTCTATTATTTTCCTTATAGTTTTTCAATAAAACCCTATGTTATGTCCCCGAGCTTGCCCTACATTCTTAATTAAGTTTTTAAACTTTTATTAAAGCAAATAAGTCATTGAATTTGGTGATTTGGGGAATTTAACCCCTCTTCTTTACTTTGAACTTAATGCTCGTTTGTGAATCACTTATGTGAATAAGGTACTAACATATCATTGTTTATGTGGTGAATATTGATCTTATTCACACAAGTAAAACATAAATGTGCATTAAGTCTACTATAAGGAAAATTGTTAAATTGTCCAAAATTTCAAGTTTATGGGTTTATTTGCTTCAATAAAAATTTAGGAGCTTAATAAAAAATCTAAGGTAAGTTTAAGCACTCAACATAGGGTTTTGCCCAATTTTTCCAACACAAACTATCACCTCAACTGCTTAGGTATCATTCGAATTGTTTCATGTTATATAGATTGATTAACAGGAACACAACATCGACCAATTATTTTGAATGAATCATACAAAACCCTAAAATTTGCAATGAAATTGCACGCCTGAATTAGTTGCCGCTTGATCCAAGGGTAATGCGGGGTTGGCTAGTGGTGGGGTGCACATGCTCTTTCAAATACAGACCAAATTGTGGGGAAGGAGACAAAAGCATAAGTCCAACAAATTAACAACAATAACTATAGTAAGTTACTAAAAACAACAAAACTGTAGGGGATTTTTTTTTTTTTTTTGGTAATAAAAACTGTTGGTTTAGCATTAGGAGTATTGTAATTGTCTTAAGGGGAGGAGACATCAACAAGACAGCCTCGTTAAATGCTACCACCTAAAAGGTTCAGGTCTTCGTAACTTCAACGCCCAATGCATTCATCCACAATTGAAAGTGATGTTTGTTAATTATTGTTTGCGTAAAAGAAATAAAAACATGGTTTCATATTCTTAAAATTCAGATTGTATATATATATATTTTTTTTGATTAGGGCAAGTGGTTCTTGGAGAAGGGTGGGGAGGGAGATCGAACCCTTATCATTGTAAAAAATATTTATATTAAACTGTTAGATGATTAGGCCGACAGATTTTCTTTAGTTCAGATTGCATTTTTAACATGCAATTTGTATGTTAATTTTTTTAAATTTATATTATAAGGATAGAAGTTAAAAATATAATAAATATATTTTTTATTATAAATTTA